TAGAATCCTAAAAATTTGTTGCGGAAAGATTGATCGGAATTCTAATTCCTTGATCAAAACTTCATTTGAGCTTTTCGTGACTTGGTCCCTACACTCATTGTATGAATTCATCTCAACTTTTCAATGTTGTACGGGTTTGGGTTTAGTGTTAGAGCTGTCCCACGTCGTCGGACCCAGATGGAAACGAAAATGAATATATATGAGTTGAGTGTTAACTCTACACAATAACTTAAACTTTTGGATCCAACAGTGAAGCATCCAACCCATTACACTTGGCACATATAGGGCCTTATCTAGACTCTTTAGATCACTATCATAAGATATATGTGTAGTCTTCAATTGAGCTAAAAGTGGAGTTATGAACATGTATCAAATTGTTCATTTTATGCTAAAACTTTCGAGTGCATCATTGTATGTAAATATATGTAACCCTCTATTGTGATTAACACAAACATGTCATTCCTTTGATCCACATTCCATTCCTGCAATAACGATTGCAGTATATCGCTGTTGAAATCGTTTTTTTTGTTTTTGTTTTGATTTCTCAAATTACATGGTTTTGACGTAACAATAAGGTTACTTTATTGTAATCTAAAGATTACCGATTCAAAATAAGGAAATAATCTAAAGAACGTGGATACTGGTTATGCTCTTAATCAATTGTGGGCTAGCATTTCATTTATTCTAGAAATAACGATCACAAATCACTATGTATGGTTCACATCACCAACTTAGACACAAACCAACAGTTCGAAAAAAACTTGGACACAAACCACACTAGAAAATAGTGTGTCACAAATTCAAATTTATTAGCTCCATACATGCGAAATGAACCAACTTGGGGTTGCAATAAAACATGAATGTTTTTACTTTCAATAGAGTAAATAAATTTCATAACACAATAGTGACAAAATAGATAGAATTAGAAAAACATAACAGCCAACAAGCCAAGCCTTGTAAACAAAAAATAATCCATGTTTTCAGAGTACTACACCATATGGATATACAAGAAAGAAAATATGTGAATATCTACTTACCTGCCATGCTATGCTTGTTTCTCGGAAAAAAAGATTCAGTCTCAGCCCTCCTCTAGGTATTAAATCATCAAGTCACAAAGGATGTAATGATCTTAAGCACATATTTCTGCTTTCTATGAGGCCTTCTTGACCAAAAATAATTCACCAACTTCATCTAAATAAGGGAGTACATATTTCTCAAAGAACCTCTTATCAGTGAGGGGGAAAACAGTCGCCAAACTCGGCATTTTAAGAAGCAAATTCCTGCTTTCCAAAACCTCCAGAACTCTTAGCCGTGGCTTAAGCCTATTCTCAACACTGAGAGTAAGTAAGAATGGGTGATTAACAACATATGAGATATCACATTTGCCCGTGCTAAGCAAAAGCCGTGTTATCTCATTAATTTTGCTCTCTGACAGAGAAAACACCACAGGCGCCCTCCTAAAAACGGAAAGAATGTCGTCTTCGGAAAATCCCAAACTCTTAAACACCTCCAATTTCAATTCCCAATTCTCTATAGACATCGAACGAATAGCCTGAATAGCAGGAAGAAACATCTTAGACTTCCTGTCAATGCCCATCTCATCAACCCTCTTCACATATTCTCTAATCTGCGTTGGTTTATACAAGAATAATCTTGGGCATTTATACACATATCCGGTTATTTGTGTCGAACTAATACCGCAGCTCTTCAAATATTCAATATTGGGTATCATAATTTTCTCCAAATCATACCCCAAAAACCAACCAGATCTCTTTAAAACCCTAGAAACATCATCCACATTCGAACCCAAAACACTCTTCAAAGTTAAAATCGACGGACCAAGCCGATTATCAACGCTGCTAGTTAGAATCCTTGGGTCATTCGAAACAATTTCCACAACATCTCTAGAAGAAAAACCCAGGTCTTGAAAAAACTTGAATTTGGGTTTGATGGAGCGCTCAAGATTTGCAGAGAGAACTTGAGGCGCCTTTTTTATGACACGCTGGAGATGGGTATCCGAAAAACCACTTTCCTGGAGAAATGAAATAATCGAATCGGTCTTTTCAGGCCTTTTCACATACTTTACGACCGAAAAAACTTTCGAAGCAGTTTCAGGAGAAAATTTGTGTCTATCAATGAAGTAATCGACCACCGCAATGGGGGTTTTTGGAGAGGAAGAGAAGAAGACGAGAGAGTAAAGAGAGATTGGGGTTTTGCTGAGATGTGAAGAGTTCTTAAGAGAGAGTGAGATGAGACTTTTGCAGATATATATAGTCCTCATTTCTTGAAGAAACACAGTGATGTATTATATATATATCTAATATGCTTTCAATCGCAGCAAAGAGTTTAGGGATGAGTACTTGCCTGTAAAGTGGGGATCTTCATAGATTTGAAGTGATTCGACTTTCTCTCTGTCGCTCTCTCTGTCTCTGGTTCTCTGAAAGTGTTTGAATGCTGAAGAGTGTGCCCTAAACCTGGTTTGAGCTTTGAGAGGTTTGAGGCCTTGAGCCCAAATGGACGGTGGTATGAAAATGTTTGATTGAGCGAGTCCTAGTCCAACAATTAGGTGGGCTGGACCTAGGTCCCAAGTTCTTAACATGTACGGAGGAAAAAAAAAAAAACAAACAACCGAACAACTCTAAGGATATAAGTGTATACGTGTGTATGTATGTATGTATGTGTGTGTGTGTATATAAGGGAAGATTACGTTGAGTATGAGTCTAACCACACAAAGTTATGATTAATAAAAAAAAATTCTCAATTTAAAATTCAATGTACTATTTTTTTAATATTTCTAATTTTTTATATATATATATATAAGGGAAGATCACGTTGAGTATGTGTCCAACCGTACAAAGTTATGATTAATAAAAAAAAAAATCCCAATTTAAAATTCAATGTACTATGTTTTTTAATATTTATAATTTACCTCTTGTATAGAATACTAATCTCCATCGCTCTCATGCACTCATTGAATGTCCTTAATCCACACATGTATGACTGACCACTTCGTATAAATCTAATATAAAAATAAACTTATAAACCATTATTGGTTCATATTTCACACACATGCATGTATATATATATATATACACACACACACACACACATATGTAGTGTTCCTATTATAATTAGGATTCCTTCTTCATTCAATCACACTTGATTTCATCAAAGTTGGTGGCTCCGTGGCGATCTCATATATACATACATATATATATATATATCAAGAAAACATCTTGGTTGGTTAGACTTCAATGAGAATTCCATTTTTCAAATTTCAGATGAACCTTACAAGAAGTGAGAAGGAAATGGACATCATATAAATAATATCTACAGATTTAGAGGGCATAGATAGGAACAGGGTTTTGTACTGTGCACAAAATAAAAATTTGGGCACTACTAAGGCAGACATTTCGAGACACTCAAATGCAAAATGCGCATGACCTTTCATTCATAGGCCATCTGTTAATTGATTTTATTAAAGTTTTTATTAATTTGATGGAAATAAATATCTATTCATTTTATTTTATATTTTCGGTATATAATACCAGAATATATAGCAACCTATAACATGAAATGTAAGTCTACTATTGTAGAGGATATACGTGTAATATATACATTTATTAGGTTTATAATGTGGAATTAAATGAAAGTTTATGGTCTACTGGTATTTTCTTGTCTTTTAAAGTGAAAGGCTAGGTTTTAAATCCACACAACGGAGATATGTGAGTTTCTTGCTATGAAAAATACTACAATAATTCATGGAGGTTTATGATTCCATTGCCTAGAACTGACTAACCTGGTCCCAAATTTGAAGCATATTTGGAAGCTCAGCATTAGGAAGGATAGTATCTGGGTGGCTTGGTCTTATAGGTATACCTCATTAAGGCTAAAGTGTACGAACCATCATGTTTGGGGTTTAATGACGTCGTTGGATTACTGGCTACCAAATGGAACTATTATTTCTCAACTCAATCTCACCGACGTGAAAATTCTTCAACTGGACACTTGTGTCAAAGTTGATAGTCTAATTTCCAACAATATATTAGTGTGTTATTCCTCCATCAATCCAACAATATTTACAAATTTTCCAATCTCAATCCTTCGTTAACCTTCTCTGGTTGTCACAGAGCATGAGGTATTTTACCCCGCTCTCTCTGCTTTTTTCTTGGCATCACATAATTTGGTTTAAAAAGCACATCCCTAAGCATGGATACAATATTTCTTGGCTGGCAATAAAGGGCAGACTCTACACCCTTGATACCAAACCACTGATGAACAAGCATTACACCAATGCTTGTTATCTCTGCCTCTCAGAGAGTGAGACCATCGACCACGTATTCTTCAAATGTAAGTTCAGCAGTATCATACGGGAGTTTATTCAGCATGCTGCAGGTTTCTATATCACGCCACACTGTTGGACAGATCTTCTTATAGCATGGCGCTCATCTTCTTGGAACTCGGGGCGTTTCATCACACATAAGCTCCTACTCTCTGCGCGCAGTCATCTGGCATGAGAGAAATGTATGCAAGAGCACATCAGCTGATGCATTAAAGGATGTATTAGAGCAAGGTTTGCTCCCATTAAGTTGAAATGTGGTGCTGACTTGAGAGTTGAGGCTAATGGGAAGTAATATCACTAACGCTTTTGACCAACCGAATAATTCTTAGAAAGCCATGCATAATGCATTAATGAACACATAAAATTATAAAGCAATCTATAGCTAGTACACATGAATTTAGCACACTACATACCATTAAATATGAGTACAAAATATTATTTTACACAATCACAAACACCAAAAAAAAAAAAAAAAAACCTCAAATCCCACTCTCTCTCTCTCACACACACACACAAACACACAAATTTATACGAAGGGGGTACTGAAATAGATCTGAAGTAACTATATATCAAAGCCAACTTAGACATGAGAAGATTAATTTTGTACCTACATAGGCACCAATGAAAGTAGTGAAGATCTAAGATGGAGGCGTTGGAGTTAATTAGTCCCAGGACCAGTTCCTGAATTAACTGGTGGCGGTGGAGGGCGCGCGGCTAGTACTCGTTCAGAGGCTGATGGAGGAGGATCATCATTTGCTGCTGGTGGGGGTGGTGGGTCTGTTAAGGTTGTTGAAGGTGGTGGAGTGGGTGTTGGATCATCTGAAGAACTTGAAGGAGAGTCCTCATGAGGTCTTGTTGAAGGGTGCTCTTCAAACCCTAAACATTTGAGAATGGCACTTATAGCTTGTTGAAGAGAATAGGATGAACTAGTATAAGAATAATAAGCAACTGTTTTCTGCTGTGTTGTTGCTTCCTTCTTCTCATCTGATGGAGACTCCATTTCTTGATTCTCTTCTTCTTCTTCTTCTTCTTCTTGATCTTCTTGTCTTTTAATGGACTAGGTCCTCATTAATGGTGGTTGGTGGTTTCTATTAAATGAACTATATTTCTTGATCAGGTAGGGTTTTTGACAAAGTATTATATGTACAGTTCTATCCTCCATTTGTATGTCTTATTACCATGGAAAGTCAGCTTAATTGAATTGGCACCTGCTTTGAAGCATGCATACATATATATACATATAAATATAGAAATCATTAAAAATAAAATAAAATAAAGGTTCCCCAAGTTTCAACACGGGAGTATTCACACCTTACAAAAACATATATACAATGCGGATGAATTTGCAAGTATGTTAACTCCATGGGAATAAGACTCTCACCTCATCACATGGACTCCACATATCATCTATCATTACTTAATGAACAAATCTGAAATAGAAACATTCTAAATTTTACCGTAATGATGTTACATCCAACTATATATTTATCTTACTTTCCAAAAAAAACTATATATTTATCTTATAATTTATAATCCCCTCAAAATTATTTTTGCATTGCATTGTGCGATTTGTAAATTTGCCTAAAAAGAACAATAGCATCAATTGGTGGACTGCACATAAAATTTAATTGTCTTATATATCATTAATTAATGAACAAACCTCAAATAAAAATATTCTAAATTTACTATAATGATGTTACATCTAACAATAGATTTAATCTTATAATTATTATACTTCTTTTCCGAGACTAACATTTTTGTTGGATTGCATTGTGCAATTTTCTAAATTTGCCTAAAAAGAACAATATAGCATCAATTGACTTCTATGAACCGGATTGACAATATAGAATCATGAGACTGAATCAAAAGGGCAATTAGGTAATATGAACTTTGTATATATATAGGGGCTACTATATTAGTCTTATGTGTGTGGTATATGCATGTAGAATAATAATTTTAGAGGTTCATGACATGTACTCTACCTGCTGCAAAAGGATGACAGTCTTGACAGATGACAGGTAATTAACTCTTGGTCTCACCCTCCTCGTCTTATGCCACCTACTCTTCTATTTTAATTACTCTACAACTAAGATTCTCGATTGTACTTGTGTTCAAGTCAATATGATCAACTATCATAATGAAATACATTACATATAATTATCTATTTACATGTATCAAACCCTAGTGACTGTTTGAACAAATAATGAAATAAGTAACATTATCTTTTTTATGCTGTTGGAACTTGAGATTATTGAAGCAAATGATCACATACATGAAAATATGCAATAAATAATTATATTTATTTTAAAATCACATAATTAAAAAAAGTGAGGCTCTCCTTTTCTATAATTACACTCCATTAATTTTAATAAAATGATACTTCTAACTCTAACTTTATAAATAATAGCATTTATAAATTTAAATGCATATAAGATTGTTATTGCCCGACACATAACATAAAAGATTCTTATTACGCCCTACTCAAATGTGTAGTTATCAAGTAAATAAATATGTGATTAAATGTATTGTTTCCTCCCTATTAATCAGCCATGACAATAAATCTCTGTAGTTCATAAATACAATATAACAATTTAGGTGATGTTCGCATGTGTATTGAAATTGTTCTTACATTTTTATGTATACTCATTGTGTTCCTCTAGCGACTTAAAACAGTCAACCTCTCTTTGGGAAAGTGGAGGTTGTACAACCCAAGTTTAGGTAAATGTTGGTTTCTAATTAGTTAGTGAATGATTGTTATATATTTTTAAGTAAAGTTTTATTTTATTTTACTTTTGTTTACTTAATTTATATATTAGGTATTGTATTATTGAGCATGTTGACAAAACCAATCAACTTTATGCCATATGCATGTTATACAATCAACGCGAGTTTGCTGACTAAACATCAATTCATTTTTTGTATGCTTAATTTATTATCCTAAATTCCTAATCAACATTCTCATCTAAGTGCCTTAACTTACAACATATTTAATTGTAATGGCCAAAATTCCAGTCCAGGCCTCCTCTTCATCCATTCAAATTTCAGTCAAAGGTAGTCAATGTCTACTGCCTTGTTTGACTCGATCCATGAAAACAATTGATATGCAGAGTTATTGTCTCCATATTACTAGTGGAAGTAAAAAGGATAATAAAAAAAAGTTTTAAAAATTTCTGTAAAAACGGTAGTCATGGTATTATAAAAGTTTAGAGACTTTTTGGTCAATTCTTTTAAAAGAGAAAAGAAAGTGACATGCAATTGGAATAAAAGAATACTAATATCGCATCCCTTTCTAGAATTCTGAAAATTTTGTTACAGAAAGTTTGATCGGAATTCTAATTCTTTGATCAAAACTTCATTTGAGCTTTTCGTGACTTGGTCACTTCACTCATTATTGTATGGACTCATCTCAACTTTTCAATGTTGTATGGGTTTTGTTTAAAAGGTGCCCCGTTACACTTAGCACCCCGAGCCATTACGCTTATCTAGACTCTTTAGATCACGATCATAAGATACATGTGGTCTTCAACTGAGCTACAAGTGGAGTTACGAACAGGTATCAAATTGTTCATTTTATGCTAAAACTTTTGAGTGCATCATTGTATGTAAATATATATATCCCTCTATTGCGATTAACACAAATATGTCATTCCTTTCATCCACTTTCCATTCCTGCAATAAATATTGCAGTATATCTCTGTTATAATTATTTTTTTGGTTTTGATTTCTCAAATTTCAGGGTTTTGACGTAACAATAAGGTTACTTTATTGTAATCTAAAGATTACCGATTCAAAACAAAATCTAAAGAACGTGGATGCTGGTTATGCTCTTAATCAATTGTGGGCTAGCATTTCATTTATTCCAGAAATAACGATCACAAATCACTATGTATGGGTCATATCACCAACTTAGACACAAACCACACTAGAAAACAGCGTCACAAATTCAAAACTATTAGCTCCAAACATGCGAAATGAACCAACTTGGAATCGCAATAAAACATGAATGTTTTTACTTTCAGTAGAGAAAATAACTTTCATAACACAACAGTGATAAAATAGATAGAATTAAAAAAACAGAACAGCCAACAAGCCAAGTCTTGTAAACAAAAATTAATCCATGTTTTTCATAGTAGTACACCATCTGGATATCCGATATACAAGAAAGGAAAAATGTGAATATCTAGCGCAAAAGTGTACCTACTTACCTGCCATGCTATGCCGCCAAGTCATTGCTTCTCTGAAAAAGATTCAGTCTCAGTAGTATGCCTCTAGGTATTAAATCATGATCTTAAGCACATATTTCTGCTCTCTATGAGGCTGCCTTAAACACAAAGAATTCACCAACTTCATCTGAATAAGGGAGTACATATTTCTGAAAGAAACTCTTATCAGTGAGGGGGCATACAGTTGCCAAACTCGGCTTTTTAAGAAGCAAATTCCTGCTTTCCAAAACCTCCAGAACTCTTAGCCGTGGCTTAAGCCTATTCTCAACACTGAGAGTAAGTAAGAAGGGGTTATTAATAACATATGAGATATCACATTTGCCCGTGCTAAGCAAAAGCTGTGTTTTCGCCTTAATTTTCCTCTCTGACAGAGCAAACACCAGAGGCGCCCTCCTAAAAACGGAAAGAATATCATATTCGGAAAATCCCAAACTCTTAAAGACCTCCAATTTCAACTCCCATTTCTCTTTAGTCATCGAACTAATAGCCTTAATCGCAGGAAGAAACATCTTAGACTTCCTGTCAATGCCCATCTCATCAACCCTCTTCACATATTCTCTAATCTGCGTCGGTTTATACAAGAATAATCTTGGCCATTTAAACACATCCCGGCTAATTTGTGTCGAACTCATACCGCAGCTCTTCATAATAAATTCAATACTGGGTATCATAGTTTTCGCCAAATCATACCTCAAAATCCTTCCATATCTCTTTAAAAACCTCTAGACACATCATCCATATTCGAACCCAAAACACTCTTCAAAGTTAAAATCGACGGGCCAAGTCGATTATCAACGCTACTAGTTAGAATCATTGGGTCATTCGAAACAATTTCCACAACATCGCTAGAAGAAAAACCCAAGTCTTGAAAACACTTGAATTTGGGTTTGATGGTGCGCTCAAGATTTGCAGAGAGCACTTGAGGCGCGTGTTTAATGACACGCTCGAGATGGGTATCCGAAAAACCACTTTCCTGGAGAAATGAAAGAATCGAATCGGTCTCTTCAGGCCTTTTCACGGAAGAGACTTTCGAAGCAGTTTCAGGAGAAAATTTGTGTCTATCAATCGCAATGGGGGTTTCTGGAGAGGAAGAGAAGAAGAAGAGAGAGAAAAGAGGATTGGGGTTTTGTTGAGATGTGAAGAGTTCTTAATAGAAAGTGAGATGAGACTTTTGCAGCGATATATAGTCCTCATTTCTTGAAGAAACAAAGTGATGTAATATAATATAATATGCTTTCAATCACAACAAAGAGTGTAGGAATGAATACATGCCTGTAAAGTGGGGATCTTCACAGATTTGAAGTGATTCAATTTTCACTCTTTCGATTCTCTCTCTCTCTGGTTCTCTGAAAGTGTTTGAGTGATGAAGAGAGTGCCCTAAACCTGGTTTGAGTTCTAAGTGGTTGGAGGCCCTGAACCCAAATCGACAGTGGCATGAACATGTTTGATTGAGCGAGTCCTAGCCCAAGAATTTAGGTGGGCTGGACCTAGTCCCCAAAAAAATTTACGGTTATATACAAAAATAAATAAATAAGTGACAAACATCATGTGAGAAAAACACACTTCAATGTTTAAATTTTGGGTACGGGCCATGAACATTCCTTTAGAGTTAAACTCCATGGTCGCTCGCACTCTAGCCTCTAAATTTCGCTCTGTTGAGGAGTTGGAAGTTCGAGATTTGTGGCCAAAGGGTCTGCGGTATTTATGGATGCGCGTTGGGGTGGATGTTGCTGCCCCATTCCGGCGATGTATAAAGTTCTTTCACGGTGGCAAGCAGTACTGGGCGAATCTCCAATATGAACGGCTACCCGATTTGTGCTTTCATTGTGGCCAGGTTGGACACGAATTTAAGATTTGTTCATGGCGTGGGGCCGAGAAATATCCGTTGTCAACAGGAGAATCCGAGTTCGGCACTTGGCTCAAAGCTTCAGACGGCATCGGTCGTTTGAGTAAGAATTTCAAGCACAAGACTACATTGGCGATATCTTGCTCTACTTCCTCGCCGGCGCGTGTCCTTGAAAATAGCACTTTGTATCCATCCAATGCACAGACTTCAGAAAGGCCATTACAGACTGGGGAAACGTTGTCAGACGCTTTTCAGAAAGATAATCTATCACACGACATGATCAAGACTGAGGACCAAGGGTATCTGTCCAAGGGGGATTTATCTCATGATGGTGCGGATAAAGCAGTCAGGAGGCCGGAAAGGGAGGGTCAAAGTCTTCTTGACCCGAACTTGCATTTTATTGACTTTCCCATGGGCCTGATTCATTCCACTTCTGTGGCCCAAATCTTTCAGGTGGATGACGAGGAGACCCAGATCCACTCAACGACTTGTCCCGAGTCTGGCCCAATTGTCTCTGGACTAGATCCGGGACCACCTCTGATCTTACCTACAACTGCTACAGCGCATCTTGAAATCTCTTGTCCTGAAGTTCCTCCTCTTTCTTCAGTTTCTCAACCCCATAACACTATCATATCGGGGGTTCCCACGAGTGTAGACGAGGTTGCATCCACTTTTAATTCTCCTGCACTAGCACTTCCTTCGCAATTTTCTGGTTCTAGGGGGTGGAAAAGGAAGGCGAGGGGCTTTCCAATTAATGAGTCGTCAGTTGTCAAACGCACTACTGAGACACAAAAGCGTGCGTATTTCTCTATGGCTGAAGAAGTTGGGGTGAAAAAGCAGAAAGTGGGGGATCTCTCAATGATTAGCTCGACAATTTTTACCAGTATTGCGACGGTGGAGGAAGCCAACCTGAATTGGCCCCAACCCCCCCAATGAAGGTTCTGGTGTGGAATTGTCAGGGTGTAGGGAACCCCCTGACAATTTCCCAGTTGAGGAGGTTGGCTCACCTCCATTCCCCTCCTTTAATTTGTTTATTAGAAACTAAAAATATAGAGAAACGGTTGGATTATGTGTGTCGTTTGCTGGGGTCTTATGAGATGTTTTTGGTGCCTCCGACGGGCACGGCAGGTGGTTTAGCGCTTTTTTACTCACGTGAATTGGAAATAAAGATTATTGATTTTTCTGATTTCCAAATTACATGCGAAGTTAAGGGATCTGTGGGCACGGAGCCATGGTTTTTCACTGGAGTTTATGCGTCTTGTTCAGAGAATGATAGAGCCCTTCAATGGAGATACTTACATAGTTTGAGTTTTCAGTTGGGCAAAATTTGGGTGATTGCGGGTGATTTTAACTCCATTCTCTTTATAGAGGAAAAACGTGGTGGGGTGCCAAAGCATGGTTGGATGATGCGAAAGTTTCATGACTTTGTTTTGGACTGTTGTTTAACCGACATGGGTTACCGGGGATTTCCTTTCACCTGGTGTAATAACAGGGATCCCGATAACTTCATTATGGCTCGGTTGGATCGAGTTTTTTGCTCGAAGGAGTGGTTGCTCAAGTTTCCCCAAGCCTCATTATCTCACCTTACTGTCTCTGGTTCTGATCATAGGGCTTTGTTACTTTGTCTAAATCATTATATAGTCTCCACACAGAAGCAATGGCATTTTGATGCTAGATGGCTTAATCATCCCCATTTTAGTGACGTGGTCAAAGAGGCTTGGTTGAATCTGGTGTGTGGTTCCAAACAATTCACCCTCCAACAAAAATTAGCTCACTGTAAATCTACCCTTAAACGGTGGAGTCGGTCTCACGGTTTCAATTCGGATGTGAAAATTAAAGAGCTCCAAAGTAAGCTTAGAGAGCTGAAGGATTGTGATGATGGGCATCAGAAAGCTGAGATTTTCAAATTGGAAACAGAACTCGGGGAAGCTTGGCGAGCTGAGGAATTATTTTGGAAACAAAAGTCTCGGATTGAGTGGCTTCACCACGGGGATAGAAACACCAGATTTTTCCATCGTAAAGCTTAAATCCGATTCAGAAAGAACTTGATTTTGGGCTTGGAAGATGGAAACGGTCAATGGCGAGATTCTAAGTCGGAGGTTCAAAGGGTAGCGGAGTCGTATTATATGGACTTATTCACGGCCTCAGGTTCTACGGTTGATACCACGTTTTGGGACCTTGTTCCGCTTAAGGTCACGTTAGAGATGAATCAGAGTCTCCTCGCTCCAGCTTCTGAAACAGAACTTTTTCAAGCCATTTCAGCCATGGGTCCGTATAAAGCCCCTGGTCTGGATGGGATCATCCCACTGTTCTACCAATCCAATTGGCATTTAGTCAAAGAGGAGTTAGTTGCAGGTTTTAATTCATTTCTTGGAGGAGGTCACATTTTGAAGGCACTTAATCAAACCAAACTGGTTCTCATTCCAAAAATTCGAACTCCAACTAAGATTTCTCATTATCGGCCTATTGCTTTATGTAATGTCATCTGCAAGTTGTTCTCGAAAGTTTTAGCTAATAGATTGAAGATTTTGTTGCCGGGTTTAATAACAGAAAATCAGTCGGCGTTCGTCCCCAATTGTCTTATCCATGAAAATGTTGTTTTAGTCCCTGAAGTCTTACACGTCTTGAAAACTAAGAGACAAATTTACAAATCTTTCGCCATGAAGCTGGAGATGTCAAAAGCATATGATCGTGTGGAGTGGGATTTTTTGGACCACATGCTAAGAAAATTGGGATTCGAAAGTCGATGGGTTAAGGTAATTATGGAATGTATCACCACAGTTTCATATTCAGTTTCTATTAATGGTAAAAGTGGGGCACAGTTCTTCCCATCTAGAGGGCTTCGCCAAGGTGACCCGTTATCGCCTTATTTGTTTCTGTTTTGTAGGAAGGATTATCTCTTCTAATTAAAGAAGCGGAAAGAAAGAAACATCTTAATGGTGTGTCGTTAGGGTGGGGTTGCAGACCCATTAGCCATTTATTTTTCGCCGATGATGCTGTGTTGTTCTGTAAAGCTAATATCATTCAAGCCATGCACCTGAAGGCCATTCTCTCAAGGTATGGGTCTCTTACCGGTCAACTTGTCAATTTTGAGAAGTCGAGTTTATTTTTCAGCTCCAAAACAAATTGTTGTGTGAAGGACCAAATTAGTAGAGCTATTGAAATCCGGAATGTTGGGTGGCTTAATAAATATCTAGGATTCCCATCTATCTTGGGGCAGTCCAAATTTTCGTCTTTCAATTTTCTGCTGGATCAAGTCTCATCCAAAGTGAAGACCCTAAAGAGCGATTTCATGTCCAAAGCTGGTTGAGAAGTCTTGGTGAAGTCCGTCATTTCTGCGCTTCCAAATCACTCCATACAATGTTTTAAACTCCTCCTGTTGGTGATTTCAAAGCTTCGAAGTAATTTGATTAATTTTTGGTGGGGAGGGAAATTGAGGTCCACGAAAACAAAGTGGATCAAATGGGATACTCTATGTGAAAAAAAGGTCGATGGTGGTCTGGGTTTTCGGAACCTCGATGCCTTTAATCTGGCCTTACTTTCGAAAATGGCTTGGCGTCTGGAGATTGGGGACAATTCTTTGTTGGTTAATACTCTCAAACAAAGGTATTTCAGACACGGTACTTTTCTGCAATCTGATTGTAAAAGGAGTGCTTCTTGGATTTGGAAAAATCTTAATGCCACCAAACCCATCATCAATTTGGGTTTAAGGTGGAGAATTTGTGACGGACAGTCTGTTGATATTTGGTCTGACCCTTGGTTGCCGGGTAATGCTCATTCTAAAATCTCTTCTAAGAGAGATGGGTTATCAATCCAGAGGGTGTCAGAGTTGATTAATGCTCCGACTCATAGTTGGAAGACGGATGTTATCAACACTAGTTTCAATCTCCGTGATAGAAGGAAGATTTTGCAAGTCCCTATCAGTTTGGCCCAGGCGAAAGATAGGAAGTATTGGGGTTGGACGAAGTCCGGGGTTTTCTCTGGCAAGAGTGCTTATTTTGTGGCTTTACGGTACATCAAGGGATGTAATGTCGCTAGGCAAGAGCGTGTTCCCCCAGAAACTGAGTGTAGTTATTCCTCTCATTTCTCTAACATGTGGAAGGATGTTTGGAAGATTTTGGCTTTTAGGAAAGTTCAATTCTTCTTGTGGCAGTGTTTACATGAGAAGATTTCTGTGAATACCAACTTGAAAGTTAGAAGGATGGTGAACAATTCGGTATGTACGAGATGTTAGCTCGATGCTGAATCAATGGATCATTTGTTGTGTCTTTGTCCTGATTCTCAAATTGTGTGGAAGTTGAGTCCTCTTCGGTTGGATTTTAGCAATTCTGGTTCTTTACCTTGGCCCAGACGATTGCTCACTCGTGGAAATTTGGAAAGAGAGTGGTGTTCTTCCGGAATGCAGGGGTCTTGCCGCTTTCATTTGTTGGCATATATGGAAAAGTCGAAATATTTGGGGGTTTCATTCAACAAAGATTGATCCCAATGTAATTCTCGATAAGGCCTTGCAGGATTTTTCTGAACATAGGGAAGCTAAAAGTCTTATGCACTTTTTGTCTCCCCATCCCACTTCTGGAATCACCTCTTGTATTTCTTGGCATCCTCCTCCTGAAGATGTCACTAAGATCAATATTGATGCATCTTTTAACCTGAAAACTAAGGAAAGCTGTGGGGCTTTGGTTATGCGAAATCACGAGGGTGTGTTGCACAGAATTGACTCAATTTATTTCTCTCATGTTCCTTCTGCTATAGTGGCTGAAGGTTTAACGCTGCGTACGGCTCTTAAGGCATGTTTGGATTAGAAATTATTCAATGTTATTATTGAGGGCGACTGCAAATCCGTTATGCATCTCTGTCCGCTGGAGGTGTCCATGGGTGTCATTATGGAAGATTGCCAGAGGTTGCTTCGCCAGGGTGTGAATATCATGTTGCACTGGATCCCTAGAGATGGGAATTTTTCTGCTCATGAAGCTTGCAAGTCTGCTCCAAAGGTCTTGGGGCATTTGCTACACTGGCCATTTGTCCCTTCGAAGGTCTCAAGGGCGTTGTTTTCTGATACTTCTTTTGTGGTGTAATTTGTCTGTTTCAGTTCTTGTGTTGTTTAAAAAAAAAAAAAAAAATGTTCAAATTTTGGACAAACACTCCTATGGTATGCAAATATGATATATATAACCCCTTAGGTTCTTAAAAATTTCTAACCTTTATTTTTGGTGCCAGGAAGGGCCTATTGTCAATTGAGCAATTAAAAGACTAAAGTGTCCTTATATATTTAGAAAGAAAAAAAAGTTAAAAACAAAATAAAAGTAAAATGACTAAAGTGCCCTATGCAAAATGAAAGGAAAATAGTGTTTATATGTAAAATGGAATTATGCTACTTTTGGTGTGCAAGAATGGAATGGAATGGAATGCTCATTCCAACCATTCAGTTGTTTGGTGTGCAGGAATGGAATGGAATGACCATTCCAATGGAATGAAAATTCATTCTAGGGAATCAAAATCCATTCCATTAGTAAACCTATGGAATGGCCATTCCATTCCATAGTAAGATAAAATATTTTTGTAATATTCCCAATAAGCCCTTAATCACGTTCCAATAAGGTAAAAATATTTTGCATTCACCAAAAATCTTTCACATTCCATTTTTCATGTTTATCGGCTTCTTTATTAGACGTGATAAAGGTCTTTCATCTTCCCTCTCTTCTGAATATACCCAGAGCTGTTATTGACAAAAAAGTTGCAGGACTTTCAACCAAATTACAAGTATTAATTTCTTTGTTTATTTATTTTTGATAAGTAAGTATTAAATCTCTTTTACCTTCTGAGTATATCACTTTTTTATTTTTCTTTTTTCTTTTTATTTTTTGTATCTTTGTGTTGAAACATTTGTGTAATCATCTGGAACCAAAAGTGGACTAGTTTGACTTTTGGACCCTTAGTCAAGTTCATCATTGGATGATTGGAGAACCTTGCTTGATTAGGATTTTATCAAAACTAGAATTTTCAAGAAATCTACAATAAAAAAAATTTTAAAAAAAAAAATTACACAAGTACTTGGAAATATTACTAGGTTTTTTTGTTGGGTTGATGATTTATTTATTTCCTTAACTTTATTTAAGTTGATCTTATGGTGCACGATTTTTTATATATTATTAAGATTGATATATCATTAAATATATCTATACTACTAATAAAAGTGGATTCAATGTATAATATTTATATACACTTTAAAATACTTATTTTAATTAAAAAAAATTAAATGGTTTTCACATATATACCATTGTTTCCTATTTTTTTAAGGGACACAATTGTTCTTCGCTTCCCAAGGGACACAAACTTTGACAAAACTTTCACATCTATTGATTTTATTATAAGATAGGATATCTGATACGAAATTTAAACATTTTTTATTATTTATATATTTTTTAACAATTTTATATTACTTTGTATTTCAAATAAAACAATGAATTAATATCTTTTGAATTAAATTTTTGTTATTAATAATTTAATTTAGAAACACGCAACGTTTCGTTATACTGATCTAACTGTACATTGCTTCCTTTCTTCAAGCGACAGATACGTTCATGACTTCCCTTTTTTAAAGGACACAAATGTTTAACAAAAGTTGCACATCGATCGGTAGATTGTGTTATGGTTATATATAAGTCAGGAAATGACTTATTCAATAGGAAGTTTTGGCATGAAAACATTGAAATAAAAGAAAGACTAAACGAGGTCTGGAGATGATTATTAACAAAGACGAGAAGTTTGGGAATTGTTGATTGAATCTTGTTGACGAAGAGTTGCAGAAATCATTCAGAAAGAAAGAATAAAAAGAGCAAAACACCCTATGATCGTCTCTATTTAACATTATCCAATCATTGACCTCTTTCACAAAAATACTATTAGAAATCTTCATGTGAAACTCTCTGTATTCCTTATTGTACTAAATGTTTGCAATTTTAGGGTTATCTAACACAGTATATGGATGGTGGCCTCAATAATGCATCACCCAATGAGTTTCAGTTTTTTTTTTCTTTTTCTTTTACTATCATGTGTGTGTGTGTGTGTGTGTGTATATATACACATATATATCTCTTTCTATTGGACTTGAGAAAGTATTATATACATTTTAACACCCTTGTAAACTAAACAAATTACTAATATTTTTTAAAACTGGATAGATTATTGTTGATAAAGAATTAGTTTTGCATTCAAACACTTTTTAAACCAAATTCCTATTCTCCTTCGTTGTTCAAATTAATGGTTATGTAATTAAATTAAATCACCTCTCTAATGAAATTAGAATTGAAATTTTATTTTTCAATGAAATAAATGATAGTAGATATAACCAATTCAGTAATATATCTTTCATTATCAAAGTCAACAGTTGTGCCATTTTTATCCGTCTATATAAATTGTTAGCATATTTTACAATTTTGGACATGGCATGTGTAATTAATTATAATAAATGAAAAAATTCAAACCTATGTAAGTTTCATATATACCAAGTTTTAACAATTAAGGAGTTACATTCACATTCAAACACCTCTTCTACCAAAAATTAGAATTATGAAAAAAAAAGAAGAGAAAATTCGCATGCCCAACATGCAAGTATGAAGTGACATAGATTTAGATATGACTAAAGGGCTAGATTCACATGCATGTAATTAGGAGAATTTCGGGCGTGTTTAGGTTCTTTACAATTAGCCGGCACACCTTACATCATAATTCACTAATGTACATAATTATATCAAAAACTTTTAGGGTGAGTAATTCAAGTTTTCTTGTGCTGGTGTTTATGGAGATACTTTTTAACTTTATTATCTAAAATTTGTAATAGAATTTGTAGTTTGAATTTGATAGCATTTCTTTTTCTTTTTTTTTTAAAAAAAAATTAATTAATTTTCAAATATTAGTTGGTTTATTGAAAAGGTGATAGAAAACAGAGGAGTTACCTCAAGACATCTAATCCATTGTTATTGAAGACATAAAATTTATGTTGAAAGTTAATTTAGGTCTTTAGTTGGTTTGGTATCTCAGATTATGCAATAGAGTGACACAAGTTAGGTAAGACCTTTGTGGCTCCTTGAAGTCATTATTGATGATTTATCCTCTTTTTCTTAATCTAACTTTGGAGAGGAGTTATAGTAGTGCAACTTTGGTATTATTCAATTGAACTTAATTTACTAATCTCTTCGTCATTCTTGTACCATATTTTTCACAATGAGTGGTACTCAATATATCTCTAATTATTAAAGTCACTTGATTAAATATTTAACACAACATAAACATAACTTAAACAAGTTTATTAATATTATGATGTTAGATATACAATTTTTTTTTTTTGGTCGACTTCTTCATTATACTGCACAAAGAATCTAAAGCGCGCAATTTATGAAAAAAATAATAATAATAATCAAACGTGCATAGCACGTTGTTTTTTCTAGTATATATATATATATATATATATATATATATATATATATATTATTTTTTAGCCTTTACATCAATTTCTTAGATTAAATGTTCAATCATAGTGAGTTGGTTTAGTTATAATTTTTTTTATTTTTCTTTCCTCCAATGAAAAAGGCATTTTTGAAAAAAGACATTCCCTTCCAAATTTAATGATATTCAACCAAACAATAAAATGGTAATAATCATTCCATTCCATAGTGATTCATCGTGTCACACCAAACATTAGAATGGTAATACTCATTCTATTCCATTCCATTCCAAATTTCATTCCATTCCATTCATGCACACCAAAAGTAGCATAAGAATATTTTGGGGAGAACAAAAGGGTATAATAGGGATTTTGTTACTTGATAAAGTCATGCACGTGACTTCTTAAATGTGATTTTTTGATGAAAATTATACTAATTAAGCCTTTTTTTGCTCATTCTTTCAAACTTATCGCACTTACATATCTCCAAACAAAAAAAAAAAAAAACGTTATGGGTGATATTTGCAAAAAATTTAAATATAATAGGGATTTTGTTACTTGATAAAGTCATGCACATGACTTTTTAAATGTGATTTTTTGATGAATATTATACTAATTAAGCCTTTTTTTGCTCATTCTTTCAAACTTATCGCACTTACATATCCCCCAAACAAAAAAAACGTTATGGGTGATATTTGCAAAAAATTTAAATATCAGCGTGTTTTTATCACTTTATCGAAAAAAAAAAAGAAAAAAAAAGAGGACACTTTAATCATTTTACATTTAATTATTTTTTTTGAGATCGACAACTATTCCGAATCCAACTGTAAACTGCCACGTCATTCTAAAAAAAACTACTGATGATGTGGCTCTCTCACTCCCTTCAATTCTCTCTCCTCCATTCTCCTCTGCAATCTATCTCATTAAGATCAATCTCTATCAGTCTATCGTTATCCTTTTTTTTTTTTTTATCAACTGAATTTATTCTCTGCCTTTGTTCACTTTGTCAAATGAATTTAGTAAATTTTTTCCAGAAACCTTTTTTTCTAGAAAACCAAACTTTAAATAATCACAGATATTGTTAGGATATGTGTGCCCTAGCATAACAAATTCTAATTTTGGATTGTAAAAGTCATGGTTTCTTATTTGGATATTATTATTAAAGCATTATACAATTGGTGAATGGAATGTATTATTTTTCGATTCTTTATGGAATTGATGGTGTCTGCTTGATTACAAAATATATTTATATATGTATGTAATGGCAATTAATACTACGATATAAATTAGTAATCATAAATGGTTTAAAGTCGGTAATTATGGATGGATATTTAATTAGTTAAGACTTAAACCGAGTCC